CCACAGTTAGGGTCCAAATGGACAAACGAAGGTTGTGGTTCATTTCAGATCCATCCAGGGATCTCAAAGACTGAATCTGATCTGGTCTTTGTTTCTTCTGCCTGTGTTGTGGCCACTTTGAGTCTTTGTGCCTATTTTAACTGATCTGGTGTCAGGTTCTAGCAGAACCCAGATGTGTTCTTCCTCCTACATGTCATGTGTCTGTCTGCTGCACTGATGAAGTTCTGAGATGATGGAAACAGTCCATTAGAGTGATAAACCTGGAGCCTCCTGTTCACTGCGCGGCTCCATTGAGCTGCTGTACGTTCAGAACCAGCTGGTTCTGATGAGGTCCGCCTGATCTTTCTCTGAACGCTCACCGCTCTCACGCTGCAGCCGTTTCATGTCTTTATGAATTCACAGGAAGTGGCTGCAGCTGACAAATAAATTCAGTTTTATGAACATCCAGGGTCGAGGTGACGCCGACTGTTTCTTCACGCTTCTTTACCATCTGCTCCCCTTTGTGCGCATCAACATGACATTTATCTCCAGACGGATTTCCCACGACGCCGGCCTCCTGCTCCTCCTGCTCCTCCTCCTCCTCCTCCGACATGTAAATCTCTGCTCTCTCGTCCTCCAGGGCAACGTGACCTTCTCGTGTTCGCCGCCCCAGCTGGTGGCCTGCACCTTCCTGAGCTCCAGCAGCAGCTTCCTGTCGCTGCCGTCAGCGCCGCCGCCGCCGCTGCCGGCCTCGGGGGGCTTCGCCGTCCGCTTCCAGTTCCGGACGTGGAACCCGGACGGCTTGCTGCTCTCGGCGCAGCTCAACCCGAGTCCCCAGAAGCTGGAGCTGCAGATCAGCAGCGGCTGGCTGCGCCTGAGCCTCCACGGGTCTGGACGCCAGAAGTCGGAGGCGTCGGCCGGTGAGTCCCGACCCCGGCGTGGCAGCCTCCGAGCCCCGGAGCGCATCGCTAATCAGGCGCTGTGGATTTAATCATCAGGTCGCATCTGGAGTGTGCGCCGCATCCAGAGGAAGCGCTGAGCATCATGGGAACGCACGTCAGAGATGTTAAAGGTTGAAGCCAGTCGACGTGCTTTTGGCCTTCAGCGGCTTCAAAGGAAAAGTTTTAGGAAAAGCTAAGACACAAATCCTCACATGTGCTCTGTGGGAAGCCTTCACTGTGAGGCTGTTAGCGTTAGCTTAGCATAAATACCAAAAATCCACCTGAGGACACGTCTAAAGCTCTACATTAATATTTAAATCAGTAATTGTAGCTTCTCTAGCTTCACATTTAACAGACGACTGTAGAAGTGATTTGAATCTTTTAGAAAATTAAAGTTGGACTTTATTAAAAAAAAAAAAAAAAATCTGCATATTGTTATTAAAACAACAAAAACCTTCATGTTGGTGCAAATCAAACAACAACACGCTGATAAATCTTTGCTGCTTGAACCCCCTCATGTCTGCTCTGAAGGAAACCTTCACTCTGAGACTATTAGCATTAGCTTAGCATAAATGCTCTATGCTACAGATGCTAAAGTCCACGTGAGGACATGTCTAAAGCTCACAAATTAATATTTAAATCAATAGTTATAGAACCCCCCTCGTGTGTCTGCTCTGTAGGAAACCTTCACGCTGACCCTATTAGCGTTAGCTTAGCATAAATGCTCTATGCTATGGAAGTAAAAATCCACTGAAGACACATTTAAAGCTCTACATTAATATTTAAATCAGTAGCTGTAGCTTCTTTAGCTTCATATTTAACAGACGACTACAGAAGTGATGAAATGAAAGTTGGACTTCATTAAATTTTAATATTTTTATTAAATTTATTGATTTATGAAATAACTGCTGGTAAATCTTTGCCGTTTGCATCTTTTGGGTCTCTTTCAGTCGCTCTTCATCTCTTTCTGGTCCTGTTGCATCTGGTTTTCTTTCCCTGTGCAGCTGTTGTGCGTCTCTTTGTGTTCGTTTCGTCTCTTTGTGTTCGTTCCTGCTGGTTTCGTTCCTTTACGGCCTCTTTGTGTGTCTTTGTCGCCGCTGTTTTCTCCCCGTTTGTGTTCGTTTTGCATTTTTATAGGTTCGAGTCTAAAAGGTGTTTTTGTCTGTTTGTGTTGCTTTTGTGTCTCTTCCTGTTTGGTTTTTTTGTCTCTTTGTGGTTCGTTTGTGAGTCTTTTTCGTCTTTATCTGTTTCTTTGTCGTTGTTTTGTCTCTTTGCTCTCGTGTCTCTGTTTTATTTTTGGTTTTTCATCTGTTTGTGTTCATTGTCGCGTCTCTTTCTGCTCTTTATGTGATTCTTTGTCGCTGTTTGTGTCTTTTTGTCAGTTTTCTGGCTCCTGGTTTTTGTTTCAAGGAGTTTTGTGTGTCTTTGCTTTTGTTTTATGTTTGTTTGCGTCTGTTTGTGTTCATTTTGCGTCTCTTTTTATTTGGTTTCGTGTCTCTGCGGTCCATTTGTGTCTCTTTCTGGGGTTTTTGTGAGTCTTTCCTGCTGTTTTGTTCCTCTCAGTGTTTGTTTTGGGTCATTTTGTGCGTATTTGCTGCTGGTTTTTGTCTGTTTTTATTGATTTTGCGTCCATTTGTGTTCATTTTGTGTCAGTTTTAGCCTCTTTTTGGTCATTTTGTGTGTCCCTGGGATCATTTTGCATCTATTTGTGTTTTTTATTTGTCATTTTTATTGATTGGAGTCTCTTTGTGTTCATTTTGCGTCTCTTTTTATTTGTGTCTCTCTGGTGTTTTTGTGAGTCTTTCCTGCTGTTTTTTTCTCTGTTTGCGTCGGTTTTGAATCCGTTTGTGTTCATTTTGTGTCGGTTTTGACCTCTTTCTGGTCGTTTTGTGCGTCTCTGGGATCATTTTGAATTCATTTCTCATCATTTAGCGTTTCTGTTGATTCGAGGCTCTTTGAGTTTTTTTTTTTTTTTTGTTTCTTTGCAGCCAGTCGGTGTTTTGTTTGCATCTAACAAGTTATTTTATCTTCTTGCATTGAATCCACACCTGTTCCTGCTTCAGTTTGCGTCTCTTTCATTTGATTCGGCCTCTCTGTGGTCCATTCGTGTCTCTTTCGTGAGTCTTTGTAGTCGCTGGTCTCTGCTCGGCTCGATCCTCCTGCCGTCACAAATAACGGATTAATCCTGGAAGCCTGTTGACATTTCTCCTCATGAAAACACCTCCGGCGAGCGCCTGAATAATGAGAATTCGGCCGGATGAGAATCGTCTAATCACCACAGAAACACAGAATCCGATCCATCTGAAACACGCTCATATCGGAGCTTTAATGTCGTCTTAATCCAAAATCTAAGACCTGACTTCAGCGCGAGCCAAGAGAGGAGAGCTGTTTTCTCCCTCCAACGCTGAGCTCCAGACTCTCAGACTTCTGTGTGAACACTGTGACCCAAAATAGCCCGTTTGGCACAAAGAAGTCCAGCAGGGTTCTTGTTTGTGTTCGTCTTGTGCAGACAAAGACAGACAGTGTCGCCCTAATCCACAATCTGGAGACACAACACGCCAGCTGCAGCCAGTAATTTCATCCGACTTACTTTTATCACCTTTGTCCTCAATAAACTCCTGGAAAAAATAAATAAAATATATATATAAAGTTTATTTTCTCAGAATTACTTGGAGGAAAAATATCATCCAATACTCAGCGTGGGATTTCTAAAGATAACGCAGATAAGTGTGATTGTTTGGGGAAGTCAGGCTTTGGGCAGGTGGTGGGCTGCAGGGAAATATAGATGGAGAAGACAACCGCGGCTCAGGGACCATATTCCCTTTTATATAATTTACCTCGAGCCGCCTTAAATTACCGACGTGCACGAGGACGCATCAGCCTCGGAGCTGCAGCGCGGGAAGAGTTTGACCCGAAGTGGAGGTTTCACCGCAAATTAATTTAGCTCGGTAAAGAGGGAGTCTGCCATTAGGCTGATATAAAGTGACTTTGGGGCGTTTGTCTGTTTATTTACTCAATTATTTGCATTAGGATTCCTTGTCTCGCTCCTCGGCTCCTCCGGTTTTGGAGGTCACGGCTGAAATTATTATCGAGCGCCGATAGCATCTCGGTTACAAACTCGGGCGCTTAAGAAGACCATTATCATACGGGGAGATAATCCCCGAGATCTCCAATGTGTGTAAAGCAAAGATTTATCCGGCGTGCAGCAACCATACGCTCCAAGGGGGTGGATCCCTTCATTACGCCGGGACGCTGACGGACGCCGACAAGGATGTTCGACAGCAGCTGGAGGCCTCTTCTGGACCAATGTCCTGAATCGGAACCAAACACTGAGACCCGAGCGCCGCTCAGGATCGACTCGGTCGGTAAACACGAGCGTCGCTGAGCACAGTCGGCATCAGTTTGACTTAAAACAAGTCACCTGTTGCTGGACTCTGACTGTCGGTTGTCTAAATGCAGGAACTCTCTGAGAACCGTGTGGAGCTGTGCGTTGTCCAGAATGAGTTAAAAATCACCCAGAATGATTCAAGTAGTTCAAACTGGCTGGAAACCTCAGAAATAACTCAGAACATTGGATAAAAGGACTCAAACATCAGCCGGAAAGACCAAGAGTTTGTCCAAAATTACTTAAAAACTGTCAAAGTTTGGTCCAAAATGAAACTTTGGAGTTAGTTTAATTTATTTCATCAATCAAACTGTGTTTTATCATATTTGTATATAATAAGAAGAAGAATAAGAAGAAAAAGATTGAGAACAAATAGCTAAACTGATTAAATGCTCGGCTTGAAGTCATAAACATTTATCTAAACACAACAAATACTTGGCTCAAAGTGAATAATTAGCTAAAGGTAGTAAATACCTAAAAGCTACGGATAATGAGCTAAAACTAAGAAAAAAAAACAGCTAAAAGTAACAAATAGTTAGCTAAACATAAAAAATAGTTAGCTGGTCAAACATAGCAAATGTTTGGCTAAAAGTAATGCAGATTAAAAATAATAAACAATTAGCTTAAAGTAGCAACTAGTTAGCCAAACATAACAAATAATTGGCTACGAATAGTTAGCTAAACATAACAATTAGTTAGCTATGAGTAGTTAGCTAAACATAGCACATAGTTAGCTAAAAATAGTTAGCTAAACATAGCACATAGCTAAAGTAATAAACAGTTAATTCAACATTACAAATAGCTAAAAATAAAAAGTAATTAGCTAAACGCTAAATAATCAGTGAAAGTAATAAATATGTAATTAAAAGTAATAGGTGGTTGCCTATAATTTATAATTAGCCACTTATAGATTTGTAGCTCATCATTTAACTGATTATTTTTATTTATAAGAAGCTTCCTGGAGGCTCGTCTTCCTCTAACAGCAGCATCTCAGTGAAAGCTCAGAGAACAGGCCAGCTGTGGATCTCAGCCTGGAGACTTTAATTAACGTCATGTTCTCAGACTGTACCTGTGCAGGTACGACAGCGTCTCATCGCTCACGGCGACGTCGGCGTCATTAAACCGGCTTCGGGCTGTTACCGTTGGTGTCATTTTGTCTGAACGCGACCCGCTCGTCTCCCTTTTATTGGACGTGTCACCTCCATGTTTACCGCTGCTTATTTGTCAGTCTGACACCAGGAGAGCTTAAGCAGAAAAACAGTTGATTGGTGAAGCGCGCGGGAGCGTTAACGTGGAAGCGACGCTGGAGCCCATCCTCCCTGTTCCGGCCAGAAATGATGTGCGGCGACAGTAAAGGCTTAATTTTCAGGCGAGCAGAGTTTGTCTTGCGGTGGAATCGGCGGGTAACGACATCCACGGCGAGCTCCGGCTTCCTTCACCTCGCTGCTCTGCATCTCTGCTGCCAGATGGGATTGTCAAGGACATGAGACAGCTGCCAGTGCAGCTTTGGAGCGGTAATGACATGAAACTGTCACATGAAACTGTATTTCCTGGAGGCAGCAGAGGCGCTCGGAGAGGAGAAGTTTTATTTTTTGCAGCGCCACAGATCTCTGATTAGATGCGTGTCTCAGATAGCGCGCTGACACGTCAGGACCAGGAGATGGGGAGGTATTCCTGACCCGAGCGGGCCGAAGAGAAGCCCAGATTAATGCTCGCCCAGCGCTCCCTCCCGGCTGCGCTGCTTCCTCCATGAAACAGCCAATGGAGTGAGGAAACAGCGCCCATGGCGCCGGCAGTCTTCGGGGATGAAAGGCCCCGCTGTAAGCGACAGGCGTCATTAAACCCGCTGAAATTCTCAAGTTTTCCCAAGAGCGTGGACAGATGTGATTGTTAGACCAACTGAAATAAGTCCCGCGACCGCCCGGTCCCCTCGGAGCCTCGCCTCGCCTCGGCTCGTCCGGATGCTAATTTAACGCCGAGGTGCGGCTCGACGGTTCCGCTGACATTGAGAGGTCGTCCTCCGTGAAGACGAGCCGTCGGCGTCACTTCAGCGGAGATCCAATTTTCTCGAGCGTCGGCGTGATTATATGTGACGAGTTAAAGGTTCAGCTGCATGTTTCGGCTTAAAGAGGAAGGTTCTGGTGGACTGTTGGGTCCGTCTTTACTTTGGTTGAGGAGATTCAGGCCAACATGGAGTTACATAAAATGGCAGATTTACCCTCCGACCCGCAGCTTCCCAAAAAAACAGATTCTTTACGTGGATCATTGATTATTTTTAGTTACAGCAGACATTTTGTTCGAACCAGAGATCTCCATCCAGGATGCTGAGCTGATCACCAACATGTTCAACCAACCATATGTCATAGGGCCTTGTCACCATGGTAACCCAGAAAATGGAGGCGAAATTCTAGTAAAGTCTAGTAAGAGGACTGTATTTTAACCCCCCAAAAAATAATGACACCTAAACTTAACCAAGCATCTGATATTTCCCTAAAGCGAACCACGCTGACTCTAAACGTGGACTTCAAACCGACTGCCTTCCCTCTAAATGTGATCGACAACGCCGTCCGGTTGGACGGTCGTTGAGTCGGTGGATCATCATGAGATCAGTGGCGGGTCATTTCTGTTTGATAGCTGGTTGTCCAAAATGTGGCAAAAATTGCCCAGATTTTTTGCAAAACATGCTGTACATTACCCATGATTGATCAAAACCTGCCCAAAGTGACTTTAAAACGGTCTAAAATGCCTCAAAATGTGTCCAAAACGACTCAAATTTTGTCCAAATATGGAAAAATGTCTTCAATATGACTTAAAATATTTACCAAAACACCTCAAGAGTTGCCCACCATGACAGAAATGTTCCCAATATATGCAAATTCTTGCAATATGACTCAAAAAATGACCCACAAATTTAACAAACTGTCTTGAAACTTGCAAAAAATGGCCCGAAATGATCCACAACAAGAAATTTGTCCAATATGGAAAAACTTCCGACTCAAAAATTGGCCAAAAATGACACAAAGCATCTTGAAAATGACCCAAAATTGATCAAAATGTCTTGAAACTTGCTCAAAGTGACGTGAAAATAATCTAAAATGCCTCAAAATGTGTCTGAAATGGCTCAAGAGTTGCACATCGTGACAGAACCTTCACCAATATACACAAACTGGTGCAATTAGACTCAAAAAATGACCCAAAAATTTAACAAACAGTCTTGAAACTTGCAAAAAAAAAAATGGCCCGAAATGATCCACGACAAGGAATTTGTCCAATAAGGAAAAACTTGCTCCTCAGAAATCGGTTTAAATTGGTTTAACTTCCCTAAAATGACACAAAATTCACCCAAAAACTGATCAAAATGTCTTGAAGCCCAAAACGACTCCAGATGCGCCAGACGAGACAAAAACCATCATTTCAGAGGGTTTAACTAAAACCACCGTTTGCTCCGCTGTCGCCACCGATGAGCAGCTTCGTCGTTATTTCCCGACTAAAAGCCAAACGAGCTCGACTATAAGCTGCTGTTGCTTCCCATCAAAGCCGCTAATGCACCTACAGGACTTGTTGAGGATAATTAACAAGCAGGAAGGCGCTGACGTTACAGTAATCTGCTGCACATTTGCATATCCGCTTCATCTGCATGATAAAATATGCAGCCGGAGTTTGTGTGACAGCTGACGGAGCGGAGGAGGACGGTGCTCGGAGTGACGGAGGAGGCTGGAAGCTCTGAAACTCTCTCCGGTGTCACCGCACACAGCTGCATGAAGGAGCCGAGCTGAGAGGGAAGCTCGCCGTTTGACAGCAGAACTGGCAGCTGCTGCGCAACTCAAAGTGCGTCTTTGACTGAAGCCGAGCAGCCAAAATGAATATTCAAAAGCACGCCGGTACAGTAGCTGCTGGGAGGGAAAAACACACGACTTACAGGCGTTTAAAGTTTAAAAATCAGCCCAAAATTTACCTGAAAAGATGTCCAATGTGAAAATACTAATGCAATGTGACTCAGAAGTGGTTTGTAATGTTTTTAAACCTGCTCAAAGTGGCACGAAAACTGTCCGAAATACCTTCAAGTGTGTCTAAAACGACTCAAACTAGTCGCAAAATGGTTTTAATTTGGCAAAAATCTGTCTAAAATAACTCCAAATGTGTCCACAAACTGTGCAGCGTGATAAAAATCTGTCCAATATGGGGAAACATGCAATATGACTGAAAAATGTCCAACAAAATCCAAAAAGGTCACACAAAATGTTCCCAAATTGTATCAAAACATCTTGAAAATGACTCAAAATCTAGAAAAATGTCTATAAACTTCAAAAAAATGACTCAAAAATTGTCCAACATGATAAAAAATACTAATTTTTGCAATATGACCCCAAAAGTTTTACAAAATGTCTTTTAACCTGCTCAAAATGTGCCCAAAATGAGACGATATGTCTTGAAAATGAGAGAAGAATTGATGAAAATGTCTTGAATTCAAAACCACGCCGGTACAGTCGCTGCTGGGGGAAAAGAACACGACTTACAGACTTGTACAACTTAAAATTACCCTTTTAAATTACCCAAAAATGTACCAAAGTGTTTTAAAATTTGCCAACAAAAGACTCAAAAATAGTCGGACAAGAGGAAAAAATGTCCAAAATGGAAAAACATCTGCAGCGGTGGCATGAAATGATGAAAAATGACTTAAAACATTATTCAAAAATTGACCAGAATGTGTTTTAATGTTCCCAAAATGATACAAAGCTTCTTGATGCCAAAAATGGACCAACAGTGTCCAACACAACAAATCTGATAAAACGTCTGGAATAAGACTCAAAGATGGACGAAAATGACTCCAAACGTTAAAAAACTGGCTCAGAAATGGTCCAAAACGTCTTGGAAATGATGCTAAAACTGACCCAGATCTCCTGAACACGCGTGTTGCAGACGTGTAAACCGAGCATGAACATGTGACCCGTCTTCTTCCAGGTCACCGAGTCAGCGACGGACTGTGGCACTCGGTGAGACTCGACACCAGGAACCTTCACATCTCGCTGACGGTGGACGGAGAGCCTTCGTCCACCATCGAGCTCTGGGATCAGGTGGAGTCCAGAGGAAACTTCTACTTGGGAGGTCGGTGGAGCCTCGCAGCTCGTTTTCTGTTTCACCCTCTGACCACAGAACTGTGTCGTCTCCCGGAAAGATCAGAAGTACAAGTCTAAAGAATGTGGATGTTAAAGCAGAAAAAATCAAAATGTGGATGTTAAAGGAAAAAAAATCAAAAATGTGGATGTTAAAACTGAAAAAATTTAAAATGTAGATGTTATACTCCCTGAATTTTCGTCGCCTGACTGTTCGCAGCAGCAGAGTCACTGAAGGCTTCACGGTTCAGTCAAATAGTGCAGAATTTTTATTTTTTTTACAGAATCTGCTCAAAGTAAACACTTTATTTTTTATCAGATTTTAAGTGAGACGTAGAAAGAAGTTATTTTGATTAAATATCACGATTTCAAGCTGAGACTTGGTAAATTCTTTTTTTTTCCACATGAACTGATCAGACTTGTGGATTCAGGGTCAAGGAACTTTTATTTTATTTTGTTTTTTTTGACTGGCTGTGGTTATTTTTTTAAATTATTGTTGATGCGTTTTTTTTTGTTTTTTTTTTAATGAGGCGTGAAGACAAAAAGTCATTTTGATGAAATGTCACAGTTTTAAGCTTAGATTTGGTTAATTTTCCAAACGAAACCAAATGTCACACACGATTAGTTCAAGGACTGTCACTAAGTTGGAAATCCCACTATTTTTTCTGTTTTTACAGTTTTACAGTCGCTCTGATTATTGGTGTAATTTTTGCCAATGAAAACAGCACAATCCTGACTTTAAGTAGAGAGAACTCAAAGAAATGAGAAAAGACAGAAAGCAAACAATTATTTTTTTTTTTTTTATTTTTTTTACATATTTCTTTTATTTATATTTTTTTTAAAAAATGGAGGCTTCACATATTATAGACATTTTCCTACTTATATTTTTAATTAGTTTCCACATCTGTTCTGTGTAAACACTGCCTGCAGTTCAGCTGAGGACGCTGAATTTTTATTGCGATTTTAGGCTTGGATTTGGTTAATTTTCCCAACGTGACCAAATGTCACACATGGTTAGTTCAAGGACCCTCTGTAAGTTGGAAATCCAACTAATTTTTCAGTTTTTACAGCTTGTACCTCTGGCTAACGGTGTCATTTTGGTGATTTTTTAATGCATTAGAACCCTTTTAAACCTGCTGGGGGTTAATGAGCATGTCCTGACCCTGAACCCTGCGCGCTGTCTTCCAGGCTGCCCCACCATGGACTGCCACGCCCAGACGCCAGCCTTCCAGGGGTGCATGCAGCTCGTCTTCATCAACGGCCAGCCGGTGAACCTCAGCCACGTGCAGCAGGGGCTGCTGGGAAACTACAACGAGCTGCAGTTCGACACGTGCAGCATAAAGGACAGGTGAGGCGAGCGAAGGTTTGCTTTAATTGAATGAGAGGAAGGCAGCAGCAGAACCGAGCCGGCCCGCATGAGGCCGTGTCAGGGCGTAGCGATGGCGGCTCGGCTCCTCGTGCCCACGCTGCTAATTTGAGGACGGCAGCGTGTTGCGCTGGAAGTCGCTGACATCTCGTCCTGCCGACACAAACAAGCTGACAAGGCGGTCCAATTAAAGAGCAGCAGAACCTCAGCCGGAGCGTATGCTAACGAGCTGCTCGCCGTTACACTGCTGAGCTGTGGACCGACCCACAACGGAGCAGCTACACAAACCGGGCTGAGTCATTTACAGTCTCGCCGGTCTGGGTTTAAATGTTTGTCGCTGGTTTTGGTCCCATTTCTGTGTCTCATGTTGGGATTGTTCATGTTTTTATGGATCATTTTGTTTTATTTCTGTTGTTTTTGTCACATTTGCTGCATTTTGTGTCATTCTGTGTCTCTTTATTGTTGGTTTTGTCCAATTTTGATTGTTTTGTTTCCATTTTGACTCTTTGTTGTCATTTTTTGTCCCATTTCTGTGTCTGTTGTTGGTTTTTTTCATGTCTTTATGGAGGATTTTGTCATATTTCTGTTGTTTTTGTCCCATTTGCTGCATTTTGTGTTAAATT